CTATATGTGTATGTATGTATATATATATATACTATATATATGAATATACTTATATATTCATATGTATACATACATACATATATATACGCGTATATATAAATATATATATATATATATATATAAATTGGAAACTTTCCGATGAGCTATGCTTGATACGATTATTGCAACATGCTCCTCTTGTTAATTTTTATCTCAAAAAAATATGACATACATAGATTTTAAAAACCAAACAAAAATGTACAGTACAGCATGAAACATTTTTTTAATATTAAATAAATTAAAAAAAATATAAAAATAAATGAAAAAACACCAAGTCGTTCATTAATGGAAAAAACTACTTTTAAAATTTAACAATAAATTTCAACTAGATCAAATAAAGGCAGAAAATAGCCTTTAAATTCATGCGTCTTACTGTTTACCGTAAATAGTAATATACCGCTAATTTTTATATTGTCATATTTGGTATTCTTGGCCATTGACGCCATTTTTGTACAACGAGCTGACACGACAAAGCCAAGCAAACACAGTCTGTCAAGAAACTACAAAAATGGATATCAAACTGTAGGATGGATATCCATTTTAGTCTAGAATTGCAATACCTTACAGCAGACACCAAATTTAGAAAACTTTCATGCCCAAAATGGAGAAAAGTAAAGATCACTTCTTTATATTTGAAAAAAAAAAAAAAAATCTGGAAAAAAAAAACTTTTTAGAAATGCCGCCGCTTTTTTCATTGAGCTATGGGCGAGAACTGAAGACCAAACAAACAACTTTAAGCCTAATGATGCGAATATTTTAGGTTGCACATTAGAAAAACAATGATAAATCCATCTTTTACCTCAAGAATGAATGTTTAAGGTATGAAACTTACTGCAACATGACCACTGGCGTCGAGGATTTCTTCAAAGTTGCCACCAGTACTGTGAAGAACTTTATATGACGTCACCCACTGATCTAAATCCTGTCGACCTTGTGTTATCACTCCGGTTACTTTCAACAAAGAACCGAGGTGGGCTTGAATCCATTGATTTTGGTCTTGGTAATAAGCGACCCATGATCCATAACCATTGTCGGACTCATGTACAGTATTCAGTCTTCCACGATCAGCTCTATGGTAATTGTCGATTTCAGATGATGCTGTCAGTTGAATTGTTCTGTCTTCTATTCCAAGAGGGTGAACGCAAGGCTCTACAAATATTGAAGTTGACTTTACATTGCAATTCGATTTGAAATCTTAGTTTTCCTGTTCAACGTTTTTTCAACAGTCGGATTCAATACTTAAAATATTAGACCAATTTATTTATTGTTAACGGTAATTAATAATAGTAAAATCCTAATACTGCGTTCTGTGTTTTTATTGTCAATGTTTCAACCCGATGTATTGTAATTATTTTCCTCACTGAAATAAAACTAGATTGAAATATAATGAAAAAAGAAAGAATTATAAATAAATATACATGGGTATAATTGTACTTGAGTTGCAAGAAAATTATTGTGGTGAAATACTATAAATAATAATGCTTTGATTGCATAAAAGCAGTATGGCACATCGTGTCTTTTAAAATTATTAACCATGAATTAGTATACAAACGATGTGTTTATTTTAAAATAAAATGAAGTTTTTTATTTGTATATAATACTTTTATTTGTTGTATTGGACGTAGATCTATTTGATGTAAACACCAAGGAATCACGAAATCCGAAGAAGACTCAGTGCCTACCACAAGTTTAGCCGACTGAGGTAAGCGGCTGCAGACGAACTATTCCATTCAAATCGACTCAGAAACTTGGAAAAGTCCATCATCCAACTCATGAGCATTTTTTTTTTCCTGGAGTTCATAGAAATTTTTAGTCTCTCTATAGTATTAAAAATGATAATATCTATATGTGACAGAGCCGAGAGTAAAATATAGTAACTTCAACATTACTCTACACTAGGAGGCAATCCGCACTTGTTTTTTCTGAAGAGTGTTCTTGAATACCCAAATTGACCATAATCCATCATTAGGTGTTAACTTCCTGCGCCTGGATGATATGCAATGTTATCCTGACTCCTTAAGTTCCAGTTGTCTTATTAAAGTGCATAAATTAAATAAATTTTGCTTATAAGAATTATAATAACTAAACATAATAATAATAATACTTGGGAGGTTTCGCACTCAAACACATACGGTTAGTGTGACAGATTTATGACGTCATAAGCTGGTTGCTATCCGACACGACACGCATATCTCGTTCACTACACGTACGTAAAAAATGCCTGGTCGATTGTTTACCCGAGCCGTGTCCTGTTTAGTTGGACATGGTATGACAAAGGAAAGAATGGTACGGCCGAGAGAAGAATTAATGCATGTAGTAAGTAGGATATTCAGGTATTCTAGTTTTGTCAACGTTAATTCGTCTTTATAATGTACAGTAAACATAAAAAGGTCAACAAAATCAATTTGATTTATGGCGCTTCCAGTCAGTTCAATCTTCGGTCACCATACCACTATGAAATACATAGTCCTATTGGTATGCATCCTAGCTGCTTCGACGATTTAAGAGGCGGCTAGTGAGAGGCAAATATTTTCCAAGGCACAATACTATGAATAATTTCATCATTTGGAAGGATATCTCACGAAATTTTACTAATAATTCTAGTTGCGAGATACATTGGATTCAACAGATTGTAATTTCTATACTGATCCCGAAAACCAAGATTCCAGTTGCAAGAATAAATAATCAATAATTCTACGCTCACGCTAGCCATTCGCCAACGGCAAATTTGAGATACCGTTTGGCGAAGAAAAAAATTGCATCGTTCGCCAAAATGGCGAATGCAAATTTTTATATACTGTAAACAATTTATCTGTCATAAATCTGTCACACTAACCGTATGTGTTTGAGTACGAAACCTCCCTATTATTATTATTATTATTATTATTATTATTATTATTATGTTTAGTTATTTTAATGCTTATAACTGTTACCAGGATAGGAAGCTGGCTGGTTTAAGCCGTCTAACTTGAATTAGCCTTATGTGTGGTATTGTTATGCAAATGAGCCAGATAAGCACAATCTGCACATGCTAAAAAAAAATAAAACTTTCCTTAGCCACATCATGGCCACACTGCGTATCGGCTAGGCGTACAGCTAGGCCTAGCTGGGAATTACGGTAGGTAAAACAAAGCAAAATAAGGGTACTAATTTCACTTGGCATGCAAATCAATCCTACTTACACACTTAAAAACAAACTAGTCTGCCAATAAAATCACCTGCAAGTTAAGATATAAGGAAAGTATATCTACAAATTTGATTTTAAATTGATATGATTAGCTAGAGTAGACCCGGCCTAGGTGATGTCTAACCGCTTATAAAAATGCAGAAAAAAGACCCAAAACAAATTAGAATGAAGTTATCAACTAACTAGTGCATTAAAATTATTCATATACTTACTACTTACCTATATAAAGTTAATATGTATTGCTCACAAACGCCAATATTTGGATTTTAATACGCCTATTCCATCTTGAACTGATGACAAGCAGCCTAAGTCAGCGGTGCGTAACAAACAAAAATAAGATAAACTAAGCCTAGCTGCTGTACGCCTAGCCGATACGCAGTGTGGCTAAGGAAAGTTTTGTTTTTCTGAGCATGTGCAGATTGTGCTTATCTGGCTCATTTGCATAACAATACCGTTGGTAAGCAAAACACCAGGTAGGGTCTATTGTACAGTACTTGAAATAGCTGCAGTCTCTTGTAATGCCAAAAAGTGAGACACTGAGGTGTGGCGCCAGGATTTGCCCGACGGGGGTGGGGTGGGGGGCGGTGACCCCGACGAGGTGTCAGATTTCCCCGACGAAAGCAAAGTGGGCGTGGTCGAGCTTCGATTAAGATGTTCCGACAGTGATGCCCCCGAAAATTTCGATAATTTAGGGGTTTCAAAAGCTTATTTAATCGATTTTAAAGTCTACTAATATGTAAAAAGTAGGCCTACATATAATAATTTTTTCTCCCCGACGAATTGTGTTTTTTTTCTCCCCGACGGGGGGGGGGAGCTCTCCCTGACGGGGGGAACCTGCACACCGCCCCCCCCCCCTCCGCTGGCGCCACCCCTGGAGACACTCTCTACTCCCAATTTGAATTAGGCCCTAGCTAAGGCCTGGGCGAACCACTACGCCTAGCCTAGAACAGGTCCGGTAGCCGTCGCGACGGCCCGACGCGTCGGGCCCACATATCGTAAACGATCGTTTTTGTTTTGTTTGTTCAATCATTTATATTATTATTACCGCATTTACAACTGGTTACAGATGAATAAGCCATAAATAAGCAAGAAATTCATTTACGGAACCGTTTTTGTAAAATTTTATTGGTTTTTAAATTTGGCTAAGCATTTTCAATTTGGCGAAAAAAGTTAAAAACCTTTCGCCATTTTTTGCGAAAGAAAATTTGACCGCAATTAATTCTTATTCGGCTGGACCTATACTGTAAAGCAAGAAAGACGTCAGCTTTACATATGCAAATACACATCACTTACACCCAGACATACACCAGCATACACCCGAAAACATGCATTTGTAACTGAAAGACTATAAACTCGATTTCCCGACACGACAACCACTGCACTACAATTATAAAATCGCAGGAGATATTATACCTCTATGGAAATAGTTTATTGAGAGTTGGAAGTATGTAGTTACTTCATAGTACGAAACAGTTGCAAACTATGTTGTATGCGATTGAAATAGTACTGATTGAACGTAAGTTATAAGGCCAACTCAACTAATGGAGAAATAAGTTCATCATCATGCCATTTACAAGGGCATGATGATGTCATATTACACCCGAATATGAACATATTCAATTTTTTTGTCATATACAATTTGATAGTGTGGACATTCCTTTAAGGTAATAGTTCAAATATATTTCATTACTTCGGTTTCGAGTATAGCCCTGCCCCTTGGATTATGTTGCTAAGTCTCATTTACCCTAGACACGATCACGACAACGACACGACACAGATGCGCGTTCTCTGCATACGTAGATTTGGCCAAATTGCGTTCCAGAATCTACTCGACGAGGTGATTTTAACGTTCACGCATGCGCAGATTACTTTTAGTGAAGTCACTACGTTTTGCGGCCTACCGTCGTCGTGCAATCGTAAGCTCCCTAATTTTATAGTCGTGCCTAGTGTAAATGTGGCTTCAGTTGGACACTCCCAAATCCTGGTACCCTTCTGGTTGATCAGTTGTGTAGCTTTATTAACACTTTGGAAAGGTCCATTACTTTAGAACCTATCTACATTCATCTATGTTATTTGGTTTTTTTTTTTTTTATCTCTTGTTTACTGTAACTAGTACACTGGTTATAGTAATAAAAAATATTAGGCCTATTTAGGCTTTACACAATGATTCACAACTTGATTACTTTCTCAGTTGTTTCTTAGTTCTACTCACCGGCAGATGAATATATAAGCAATGTTATTAAATAGTACCATCGAAGACGGAGATAATCATTCGAGTCATGCTTGTCTGCTAAAGTCGTCGTGAATATATAAAGAAAATGTATGTAGTTATGATCGATAATTACGTGTTTGTATTTTGTATTTATAAAATATACTCACCGGCAAATGAACATCCAAGCAATGTAATGATACCGAACAATGAGAGAAACGTACGATACATCTTATCAGTTAATAGTAAACGCAAAACTGAATCGTTTATCTAACAATAACACCAAAGTAAAAAGCAACATTTTATAGACTCGTCAAACCTGATCAATAATTTCGTTTCTGTGTACTTGAATTAGATAGGTCTATTGATCTTTGAACAATACATATTTGATATGTATGGGTTCGTTCAATAAATTGTTCCTATATATAGAGACGTAAGTACTGCGTAACATAATCATCTGCAGTGCAAGTAAGTAAAAGTAAGCAAGTTAGTAAGTAAGTAGACACAGATCTATTGAACTTGAAGCTTTGAATAAATAAACAATTATTATGCACCAGTGTCCACCAAGAAGACACTCATGTTCAAATTAACGATTTATAATTATAATTTGTGACTTCGTCTGTCTTTTTAATGTTTTTAATAAATTTCATATTTAATATTGCAATATTTTAATAATGATTTGTAAATTTTTAATTGCCAATTTTATATCTTTGTAATTTTATATTCAGTCTTTCAATTTAGCGTGTGTTGTAACAGACTGTTTTGTATTTGAGCTTCTTTTATGCAATAAAAATATACCCAAATACCAGTACGCGATGTTCGTTTAATATGGCAGGCAGTTATACCCCTGCTAAAGGAGGTTATGTATTCACCGCCGTGTGTTTGTCTGTTAGCAAGACTACTAAATTGTACAAACTAACGAAAGGATGATCATAACATTCACTAAAATGGTACATAATCGGAGAAAGAAATGGTTACATTTTGGGAAGAAATGGTCAAAGGACAAGCTCAAGGTTATGCGTGGAATTTTGAGTTTTTACCCTGAGTATAAAAGAAAGGCGGCTTCGTAAATCGTGTATCCACGGTATTAAAGCATTTGAATGGTTCAAATTATTATCTGAGCCACAGTCGATGTTCTGTCCGTATTGAGGATGAAACCGCCAAAGGCTGATCTAGGCCCTTATTCTATTCTCATAAAAAAAAATCTTGACTTACATGCAGATGATATTCAGATAATAAAGTATTCTCATTCAGAATCCAACCAAAATGACCTCGATCACCCTAAATCAAAAATCCCATCTTGTCTTGATGATGTTCTTGCTTGGTTGAATACTAATCTATTAAAAATAAATAAAAGAAAACAGAACTCGTACCGTCCAGACCAGTGCTTTCCCGAAGATCATCAACATTCTTCGGTGCACTGAGGATAAAGTCCTAATTTATCTCCTGCAGAGTATATAAGTACACTTAGTAATCTTTAAACCTTTGAGAGCAGTAGTGAAAAAGCATTTTAGGTAATGAAAGTAATTTAATCAGATTTTGAGCTATTTTAACGAAAGAATGGTTTGCAATGGTTTTCCCTTCAATTTCAACGACAATTTGACTCTCTTTTTCTTTTTTTCATAACCAATATCTTTAAGTAATTGCCACAATTTCTTGGGATTATCTTGAATTTTATTAACTTGATTTAAAAGATGATGCTTTTTTTACCTTTATTTCGATAATACTTTGTTTAAATAAGTGATATAAGTAAGTATACGCTAGTACTGACGCATATACCCATGTTACATATATATACTGTATATATATCACAAATATAATTATATATATATATATATAATAAAATTAGAATAACATGAAAACACCACAATTTGTATAGACTAAATTTAACCTAGGCAAAATGTATAAGCATGCCTATGATACTGAATAAAGCGCTAATGTATCACAAGGACGTATTCATATTCATTGGCTCCGTCAGTCGCAAACGACTATGGATAAAATTTCTCAAATAGAAAGGCACTTTTGGACAATTTGACTTTTCACTTATTAATTTTGCAAATTTTAAGAGTTTAATTTTATGTTTATTAAATTGATTAACTAATTTTCTTCAATTTCATTTTCATTATAATTTCCATTTACAAGCCCTCTCGTGACTAATAAGACCAATTCTAGCAGAACAAGTTCTACCACAATATCGACAATCTAACGTTTGCACTACGTCATAATCTGTTGTATACTGCTTCCTTTTCCTTCTTTCTATTCTTTCTGCATTTTCCTTTCTGTAATCTTTCTCAAATGATGCTAATCCATCAGCTACACTTGCTTTCCAAGACTCTCTATCACAGGCTATTGCTTCCTATGTTTTCAGGTTCATCCCAACAGCTATAAGGTCTCTTTTACAGTCATCCACGAACCTTAGTGTTGGCCTTCCAATTGGTCTATTCCCTTGAGCAGTTTCACTGTATAGTAAAGCTTTTAGAATTCGGGAATCTTCCATCCTACACACATGACCAAGCCATCGAAGTCTACGTTGTTTTAATAGAGTAAACATAGATTACATGCCACTGGTTTCTAGTACCTTATTGTTGGTGATCTTATCTTGTCCAGATATGTTAAGTATCCTTCGAAGGCAGCGTAGATGAAATATATTCCATAATTTTTCTTGACTTGCATACAAAGTCAAAGCTTACAACGCAGGCTTGATATACCATGATTTTTACAGATGTTTTTAACCTTTTGTTTTTCCATACTCGGTATGCAAGTCTACCCATGGTGGTTGATGCTTTGCCAATTCTTGTGCAGATTTCCTTCTCCAAAGAGGCATCATCAGTAACAGTTGAACCGAGATACACAAAGCTTTCAGTAACTTCCAAAGATGTGTTATACAACAAGATGTTGGGAGCTTCGTTCACACCTTGGGCTAGAATCTATGTTTTAGGTTGGTTAATTGACAAACTAAACTCTTTGCAGGAGTTGGAAAAAGCATCCATCATAACTTGCAGCCCTTCGCCAAGTAGATCACAAAAGCAAGCATCGTCAGCATATAACAGTTCTCTCAGCAAAAAATCTCTGGTCTTTGTCTTAGCTTTCAGCTTAGATCTATTCGAGGGCTTGCCATCCATTCTGCAACTCAGATGAATACCAGATTGAAAGTTGGCGAATGCATGCATTAGGACCACTTCAAAGAAGATTCCAAATAATGTAGCGATGAGGAGCTGTAGGAATACACTGTTAATTGATTGATTAATTTTGCCGTTAGGGCCAAATTATACTTTACTGCCAGATCAATTGTACAGTATGATACATTATCAATTAACCTTTTCGAGTTTTAGTAACCAATCAGAACAATGGACAGTGGACGCAAAAAAAAAAACCCCAAAAAACACTGGGCAAGATTCCAATAGAAGTCCTATATAATATACACATGTTTAAATTTAAAGCCTATATATTTTGGCAATTTGAATAGCACACTCATTTTGGGTTTGTGCACTCTTGTATTCATAATCAGTGTACCTCGTCGCACAGGGCTGACCCAAGCCATGTTTGAGTCTGTCGTGTGTTTCATTCTTGAAATCATGAGCTGCACTGATGAGATCTAACAAGATCGAAACGGTACTGTCTGCAGGTTGGAATATTTACGCTCCTTTACATTGTGCTGCTAAGGTAGTACATTGTTTTGTAGAGCACTCTTATTTTAAGATGGTGCATTGTTTATGTAATACTATTTTGCAATTTGCATAGCACACTTATTTTGGGTTTGTGCACTCTCGTATTCATAATCAGTGTACCACGTTAAAGGGCTGACCCAAGCCATGTTTGAGTCTGTCGTGTGTTTCATTCTTGAAATCCTGAGTTGGACGAGAACTAACAAAATCGAAACGGTACTTTCTGCAGCTGTCTCTTATACACATCTAGATGTGTATAAGAGACATATATATATATATACACGAAAGAACTACTTTTTTATCTGTCTGCTATATGAACGCGTGTTTGTGTGCTTATACATGGTTTTGCCAAGAAGTGTAACAAAACATACTGGCATCAATTTCACAGAGATAAAAGTGGAAACTGTTTGGTCGAGTGGTTAGGAGAGTGTTCTCCACTCTGTTGATCCCAGGTTCGAATTTTATTTATTTGTTTTTCATTATCTTTTATTTAATTGTCCGTACTAAACTGAACATTTTATTACTGATGAAGCTATTTAGGTTTCAGCACTGCACTGAATACATTAAATTACTAGTTAGAAACGTTCCCACAAGTTCCCACCGTTGGTTAAAAAAATTAGAATTATTTGCACTGTACCGCGATTTGACCTCCTTTATCAACATCATTATCATCAATTATCTTAATTCTCATCTTCCATCATCATCTTCATCATCATCGTCGTTCATGAACACACATATAGGCCTACATACAAAACCACACGACCCTCACACCCTTACCCACCCTCGCATAATATACAAGACATACAGGTACATGTAATAAGAGTGATGTTTTGCCCTACTTGACGTGTTTTCGTGCTGAACATTCAGTACGTTCCGAATATACTCAGTACGTTCCCAAATACTTGAGAAGAAAAATCGCATGTAATTCGAGTGGGAATCAAACTTACGGTTTGGTTGTTGGTTCGATTTCTACCGAAAGATGTACAAGAAAACAGAGGAACTTAGATATTGAATTGCTATATATTTATTGATTGAACCACCACATGTTCGGCCTTCGTCACAAACAGGACTGGTGGTAATTAAATCAAAAGTCGAACGATGATATAAAATACAAACGTTTGGAAAGGTTAATTTATAAAAATAAATAAGAAAACATATCGCACATAATTTAGAACAACAATTTACTCTATTAAAGTAACGGTAAGGTGTATGTTATGCATGCATTAATATTTTTTTTTTTTTACTTCACGTGCGATAGTAGCTAACAAAGGGAAATCTTTACTTTACATGCGTTAGCTACCACAGAAATCACTTAAACAACGGCTTACTTTAAAAACATTACTGATAATAATAATGAAAACAACAAAAATTAACATCAATAACTATGACAGTAATATCGAGTTACAGTATCATTAGCTAACAAAAGCAAATAAACGTATATCTAGACAGACCATTGAACATAGCCTGGTTCTCACGAGAGCCCTAGTATCCGGATCGGGAACTAACCGTTAACGCTAACCGTTAGCACCTGCGTGAGAACGCCCCATCAGTTAGTGTTAACCGTTAGCGGTATCCGGATACCGCTAACGGTTAGCAAGCGCTATCGGTTAGCACGCGTTGAGCGCGTTTCTATCATCAACCAATCAGACGTACGCGTTTACAATTTCCAGTTTTTTATCGGCCAGAATAGTCGATCATCATATTCTTGGTATCCGGATCGGGATCTTGTCGTATGGACGCACGGCAGCTAACGGTTAGCAGGATCCGGATCCTGCTAACCGTTAGCTGCCGTGTGAGAACATAGCCTATAACTACTTTCACCGTGTATGTAAATTACATGATACACTTATCCTAACAGCTGACAAAACAGATTATTCAAAACTTTAGAAAGCTAAATAAGAAAGCGTGATATATATATATATATATATAGGCTATATATATATATATATATATATATATATATCACACG